TCTTTTTATTGCAAAATGCCTTTTGGTCAAATGGCTCTCTTATAATAATTATAATCAAAGAAACATCATGAAAGAACACATAAGCCTTTCACCCAATGAAAATCCAATTCTCTTAGCTTATACCTACTCTGTCTCTCACAGATTATCTGCACACTATAAACCCAGCTAGAAATGCACAAGATGTTCTCCCTTCTTGGAAACTCCTAGTCCAAAGTTATGGGAGAAGGTCAGACCTGAAAAGATGCTTGCCAGAAATGTTGACCATGACAGGCATGGTGATGCACATCTGTAATCCCAGCAACTTCGGAGGCTGAGGCAGGAGGATTGAGAGTTCAAAGCCAGCCTCAGTAACAATGAGGAAGTAAGCAATTCATTGAGTCTCTGTCTCTAAATAAAAGACAAACTAGAGCTGGAAATGTGGCTCAGTGGCCAAGTGCCCCTGAGTTCAATCCCCAGTAACCATAACCTCCCCCCAATAACAGAAAAAGAAATGTTGACCACAACAAAACCCACAAACCACTCAAATCAAGAATTTTAACAGAGAAACTCTGATCACTTAAGTCTTGTTTAGACCTACCGGACTGGAACCCCTTGGTGACATACATGAATAAGATAAGATATACACAGCCCACACTCCATAAGAGGCTACTTTTCTGAAACACTAGACAACTGATGCACCCACCTAGGACCATCATATGTTTTTTTGAGCCTACCATCTTCCGTTCCATCAGGCCAGCTTGTTGCTAATAAAGCTAATTCTCACTACTTCTCGAGTCATTGACTCTATTGGGATACAGTGAGAAAAACACACACATGACGTAAAATGCTCAACAAAAACTAGCAAATTTTCTCCTGAAATTCTTTCATTTCAAAAATGTGTATGCTAGGGGCTGGGCCTGGGGCTGGGGTTCAGTGGTAGAGAACTTGCCTAGCTTATGTAAGGCACTGGATTCTATTCTTAGCACCACACAAATAAATAAATAAATAAAGGAATTGTTTGAATCTACAACTGAAAATTTTTATATATACTAGCTTTTAACCCTCTTGTACACAGTTCTCACAGCCCCTAAATTGATACATATAAACCTAAACATATAAACCTAAATACTCTGAACATACATAAAACACTCCCACAATCCTGAACACAAATATACATTTGTGTTTTCCTTCCTCAGATTGGAAATGAAAGTAATGAATTTGAGCTGAACAGAAGTAGACTATGTTGGATACTGACATCTGCAACTTGGATCTATTATCAATAAAGTGACTTTTTCTACAAATTTCTGGGAATGCTGCTGGAAACTACCTTGACCGTCAGCTCCCTTGACATCTGCATCAGCTATAGAGAGCACCCTCAAGAGCTCTTACAACTTTCTAGGGAGGTTTCATGGATAAATGGGTAATAAAAAGCTGAGCTAATGACAATATTAATCCTCCACTGACACAAGAGGCTAGCTGAGACTGTTTGGGGGCCTGGGTCATATTTCAACTTCTCCTCAAACTTATTATGCTCTCTTTGAATATTTAAACAAACAAAAATGAACAAACAAAAAACTTGCTTACAAAGCTGTCTCAGGACTGAACTGCAAGGAACTCAACATAAGACAGCATTCTTTGATTCCTTCAATGATTACTCATTAAGCACCAAGAGACACTGAAAGACCATCTCTCTTATGGATATTTCACCCCACAGAAGAAAATAGACAATAAACAAATATATGTATTATGGAGTCACACATGGAGTTTTTGGAGAGAATCAGTAAGCAATTAAATTAAAGGACAGGGTCTCTACAGAAAGAAGGGAAGGGCTACAAATATAGGCTTGAGGAAAAATGCAAATGGAAGAATACATTGCCTGGTACAAAATGGTTTCAACTTCTGTGGTTTTCTCTTCACTTGATAACTGCAATCTGATCTTATGATGTGCATTTATTTTGGGGATTACTAGTTACCTAGTGAATCGATATTGTAGATTAACAAACACTGGAAAATTCAGCAATTCAAA